AATACTTGCAATCAAAATCTATTTTCTCTCCAAGTAATTCCAAAATCCATCCATGTCTTTCCATCCATTCCTTTATTCTCTCCATCAGTTAATTAATTAACACCTACTACATACCAGGCACTGTTTTAGGCACTAGAGCTATCACTCTGAATAAAATAGACAAGGAGCTTAAGTTTTAGCCTTGTAAGGGGCTTATATAGAACATCTCTGATTCTACTATCCTAGTCTCATTTATAATTATCTTTCACCTAAACTGTCACAGTGGCCCTCTACCTGACCTCCTCTCTTCCATTCTGTGCACTCCAGAGTTCCCATCTTTTTCATTATATGAGGAGATGTCCATGGGAGCCTGCATCTGGGTTTTCTCTGACATGTACTTTGATCGTACTTGAATTCTTCCTGTCTCCAAGCCTGAATTGACTCTTATAGCTTCCTTTGGTTTTCCTTCCATGACAGCTAAATTTTAGAAAAACAGTGACTTTCTTACAGATTTCAATATACACAAAATTCAATCAATAAAAAAATTTAGCAATAATTTAATTGAATGCCAACAGGATATAACTAGTTATTGGTCAAAACTGAATCTAGAACTCAGTGTGCTTGTTCTGTACATTTTTACTAGCAGTAAAAACAAAACAAAACCAAAAAAAGTGTTGTTTTACTTAGGGTCTTTGGATTGCAAATAATGGAGACTTAGTCTTTCTCAAGGAAGAGAGTGAGTTATTTCCGTTCTCCCTGCAACAATAAGGAAACAGGTATTCCATGGAATCTAAAATCAGGTACTGTAACATGACTTGGTCTCAGAGACTGAGTCTAAGCAGCTCTGAGTATCTTAGCATTAGTTTGTGGATCTTTTACTGTACTTTTTTACTAATTAGTGCTGGTACTCAACTACTTTGCATCTGCTTTTTTTGTGTTATTTTGCTTCTCCTCTGACAGCTTTCTTTCTCAACATAATTTTACTTACTCTTAAGTTTTACTTTTGGCTTTCTTGTAGCATCTCAGCGACATTATTCTTCCTAAATTTTAGCCTTTGTGAATCTTTCCAGCTGTCCCCTCCCCCACTGCTAAGTACCTGAAATTTTCTGTCATTGCTGTTTTTCTTTTTTTTTTTTTTTTTTTCATTAATCATGAGTTTTTATTATGGTTTTGGGG